GGAGCACAAAGAACAGAATGGACGAACTGAAAGCAAAAAGGGAAATTAAATGTTTCGGAATATTCAGTCATAGCGCACAGATATTTTTTTTTTGTGCCCAGATGAACCAATTCATTTTGTGACAATGTGTGAATAGAATCAGCAAGGCACCACGTGGCAGGCTGGAAATTACCGGTTTTTGCACCCACCAACCACAACAACAGCCCCGAGCGGGCGCCCGCCCTGTATAGTTCAGACACGAACTAATCCGACTCATGATTAAAACACACGTGGTGAAAGCTTATCATATACTGTAGCTGCTAGTCTTCATATCACAGGGCCTAATCTGGATTTATGATACAGAGTGAAGCCAAGCATTAGCTGCTCACTTTCAGGTCTGTATTTACAGTTGTGACGTCACAGTCTGATAACACCAAGCCTGTCGAAATGTCGTCGGGAATTTGTTGCTGTTACCGTCTTCATTGTTCAGTATGGCGCATGACATCTACCGAGAAAACAGTTACGGTTCAAGTTTACCCATTTAAAACAAAGTATTTCAAAAATACCTAACCTCACTAAATTTTCTTTTTTTAAATTCGCTTAATGGGGGGTGCAGTCAAACTGGGTCCACTCGGCACGGCGGCCACTGATTGGTCTATTGTAGCCTGCCCCGGATGATTATGATGATGGAGAATTTTGTGGAATGAAGATTGGCAGGGGAAACCGAAGTACTCGGAGAAACCCTTCCCCAACGCCACTTTGTCCATCACAAATCCCACTTGACCAGACAGGGGCTCGAACCCGGGCCGCCGCGGTGGGAAGCCAGCGACTAACCGCTTGAGCTATGGCGCGGCCTAACCTCACTAAGTTTAAGAGCATAGGACAGACATTTGTACTAAGAGACTAAACTTGACAGGAAAGAAGCAATGCTACTCTTATGTCCGTTGCGGCCTCTCTTCGGTAAAGGTGGACACTGTCGTGCAAATCAAACTGCTGTTTATTTTGTCATCTTCTGCTCCTGCTTGCAACGGCCGGTACATGCTAACGTACGTGTGTAGCGACCAAACAACAAGATCTCTAAGCCTGTAAGCACAGGTCAGCGGTTCTCAGCGTTTCTGATTCATGGGCAGGTAAAACAGCAGCCGACTTCTGGAGGGCCCACATTGTGCACTACAGAGCCTTTTATACTCGTACATGTAGAAAATGTTACCATTGTCATTACTCATATTCAGATTACCATAGCAACGAATTGTTGAGCTTTATCACGTGGCATGAATGTTGCTCACGGAGGCGCGAACAAATTTTGTTCCAATTATCCTGTCTCTATTGTGAGTACTGATGTAGGTATGTGAAGTATTGTATCATATTATAGTCTGTAGAGCCGTTACTGAGTAACGGCCGCGAAACAAACAACGAAACAACATCCGCTGCTAAGCAGTAGATTCTTAATAAGCATATATACTCAGCCGTTACCGGGTAACTCCTTCTCAAACAAACATGTTCCCACCGAACCGATTTGAGTACAACAATGAACGGTGTGTTCTACGCGGTCCGTGCCGAGATATTATACGGAGGACAATTGGAGTAAGAGTTGAGGTTTGTGATGGAGTCTGTGAAGAGAAGACTTAGTAGAATTGTGGGATATTCGCCGGACAGTATTATCAATAGTGTTATAGTCACTTGTAGTTACGCTCTGTAAGTTGGTTGATAAATCCAATCTCCAACCCGAACCTCGTCTATAATGGCTCAGAATCGTGACAATATGTAACGGAGACGGTTTGCGGTTGTCTATTAGTAAGTGCAGTTCGTGGGAGATGGCCTTAAACGTTGCCCTCGACACAACATTCGATAACAGTGCAGGAGATGGAAGTATTGTGGGAGAAAGTAGGTAAAGCTAATAGTACGTATGATCACAATTTCCACCCAATTCTGAACTGATGTTACACCGAAAATACTCGTAAGCAGTTAGTATATTATGATTACCCTAGCGGTAACCCTCCTGACTTGTATTCAGAAGGTGCCCGTTTCGAATCTCGCCCGAAACACTGGCTATTCTGAGATATTTTTCATAGTTTTCCTCAGGCCCTCCAAGAAAACGCAGTCTCTTAACAAAATGCATGGCGATTAAGAAGCCTGCATAAATAAGAATTAATCTCAAGGGTTCTGCCGATGGTGTATAACCCTCAGGGGCCAAAACCCCAGTAGTTTCAAGAGTTATTCTGTCGTGACGAATGGAATAAACCAGTTCCACCCCTGCAGTTTTTCAACTTGCGGACGGACAGCAGGTGATGAATTGTAACCCACTGGCGTACTTTCACGACTATGAGTCTTCCCGTCTGACTGCAGAAGACATGGTATGTCCTGGTTGTGTACTAGCAAAACACACTCATTATGCTCATTATGCTCATTATGCAGCCGATTACCATACACGGCAGTTACGACGCCCGCCGTTACAGATCGATTCGGGAACATTGTAACAGACAGACAGTTCTATGTGTTTCGTCCATCCCTTCACCAGTCACTGCGGTGGCCGAGCTATTTCAGCTCACGCGGAATTATGAATATTGAATTAAAATTTCATGGAGTCGAGCCGACGTATGAAGTGGAATCACGCATGCGCTAGCTGTACTGCACTGTACTGCCCTTCGCAGTTCGTACAGGAGTGCACGCGATTACCTAATGCGAGGAAGAATGGAAGACACTTCAGGCTAGCCAGCTCCGTGGTTCAATCGGACATACAGAATCGAAAGCTGTCCCTCAACAATATGGCTGCCAAGTGGCACTTCCTTGCAGGGGCCCACAGGAGTTACCAAACGCTACATTTCTGGGGATAAAGTGGCCGGGTCGTGAAGCTGACTACTCACATACAGGGTCCTTAGAGATAACTGTAATTTTCTTACAGATGGCAGATGCTGATAAATATTTTCAGTTGCAGTTACAGCAGTTAGCAAGCAGTTCGAAGCAAGGCTGTGGAACCCACTTTCCTGTCCTGCAGATCTGTGCGGTGTATGAAGGGTCTGAAGCATCTTGTAGGTTACGTAACCATCATCGCCATTAAAAGGCTACCAGATTCTATTTTCAATTTGCGATGAGGATTAGAATTGCTATATTTGGGATTTCGCTGGAAAAACAGGACTTCCCTTACGTGAATTTGCCTACTTAAGCTATGACGCAGCCCCAGTGATCTTTTATGTGGACAGTTCTATTGTTATTATTCTTTCGTTTTATTTCTGTTCTTTTGTTAGTTAAGAACTGATTGTACTTTACATGTTTCCCGCTGTCGCCATGTTTGTAGTTGTTGACTTGACAGCATTTCACACAGATGTAGAGTGTTTTATACGTTTCGATAGCTCAGTTGGTAATGGGCAACCGGGGTTCGATTCCCGGCAACAGATTTTTTTCTTCTCCGTAACGTCCAGATCGGCTCTATGGCAAACGCAACCTCCTATGCACTGACTACGGGGACTGTTTCGTTGGGGGTAAAGCAGCCGGGGCTTGAATCTGATCACTTTCCTCCATCTAGTGCCGAGTTCAAGAATGGTGGAGCTATACTTCCACTCCCCATACGTCTTCATGGGACAGTGCTTAATTGTATAATTGAGTACAGGAATAATTTCACTTTTCCTTAGCTGTAATGGTTCGTTAGTTGCCACAGTAAAACCGAAATCTAAAGAAAATCTTAGCGCGGCCGTCATATTGCTTTTTTACATTAACGAAAGTTGAGTATTTTCGAACACTTATTTGCCGCATATCATGTCAGGTGACTAAAGTGAGTGAGACAGGCCTCGCTTCCACCGTGTTATTATTACTGATTGTAGGCCATTAAAAAGTACAAATTTAATTGGCATACTGCTTATACCAAGTCGGTAGAAATGAAGATAATTTAAGGACAGAAAATTATTTATTCTGTGACAGAGTGTTTGAGTGAACGTTTCGTTGCTGTAATCTATTAGCTGGTGTACGTCGCGGAGTGACTTCGTACTGCTGCCTCATTACTTAACCATGGAGATGTCAGAATTACGGTCTGCTATTTGACAAGAGCTCAGATTGCCAGTGTCAGACAGGACGGAGCTGAAAATCAAATCCCAGAAGCTCCTCTGTTCTCTGGGAGCACATCGATATGTCACAAAATGCGATAGAGGATATTGGCGGTTTCTTGTTACATACAGTGACCCTAACCGGGCATTTATGTCTGTTAGATTGAAAAATGTGGGTTCAGAGACATAATTCACAGTACTTTGAAACTGATCTCTTAATCACTTGTTTGTATACAAATAATACCCACGAGGACATTCGTTTTCAGTGTCTCGTGTTGTATTTCCATGTGGAAGCGACTCTCACAAATGCCTTGCTTGAGGTATCTTCTTAAAAAAATTCCATACTTTGCAAAAATCATGCGTTTATCAAGTTATTCCCACAATAATTCAGTTATTAAACTCCATCGACTCTAAGAACTACCGATCAGAGTGGTCGCACGGTCTAAGGCATGAAATGTCTTCACCCGCTCGAACATTGAGATGGTGGGTTCGAATCCCACTCAACGCGTCGATGTTTCTGTTTATTCTGTGTTAGGTAGTGACCTTGCGAGGGCCTCATCCCCCGTCCAAGGAGTCCTACCGTCTGTTTTATATAATGAAACTGCAGTGAAACGTAGTTTTTCACGGATGCTCTATGCTCCAAGTGGGANAAACTTAACCAACAAAAGCCCTGTGCAAGTACATTTGAATTGCCTAGCAGCAATATGAATACTGGAAATATGTTAAAAATATTATCTAGCAACTTTCTATTGATAGCAACGATGTACGTTACCAACTAACGACGTACGCCCATCCCCATGGTATATTGAGTGTAGTTATACATGAAGGTTAGAAATATTCCGCGGCTCTTATTAATTAGTAAATGATATATTTTTTATACAAAGCATTGGACAGGTTAGGATATTAGGTAATAAGGAACTTATTGATTTAGTCGTAGGGTAGTCAAATGTAACAGGGTACGAGGAATCGAACGCATAGCTGACAGGAGAGATAATAACTTTAGTGGCCTCTAGGGTAACCAAGGCGAAGGTGGAAGGTTAACATTAGGATGGATCGTAGCGAAGTGGGTTATGAGGTTAGATGGAGGATGGAACGGGGCCAGGATCGTGTTAAATGAGATTTCATATTAAACGATGTCAAATCTTGGGGTTAGTTTGTTAATTAATTCATGTCGTTATGCTTTTCTGCGCGCCTGAGCATCACGTAACACTGCGTTTCTTTCGTCGGTAAAAATGTTCGACATGTGCTGCGCTCTGGTAGAGTACATTTAACTATTTGATCAGTTTCTATTATGGTCGGACAGGCAAAGTCGAGAAAGGTATAATGGTATAGTGAAAGCAGTGGGCGCTTTTGAATGTGGTGGTTTGCATTAGTATGGAAATAAAGAAGGGGATAATGATTTTGAATACTGTTTTGTAATATAATAAGTGGGTGCCCAGACAGTATTCTGTGGTTTTGTGCTGCCGTAAGAGTTATGAAGTATGGCCGTCCAACAGACAAGTTTTCAAAAGAAGACCAAAAGCAGAATACCATATATTCCTGGTTCAAGACCATCCATTAAAAATACTCAGCTCTTGGTTTCATCAGGTGTGCCTTCATTTGATTGTGTGATAGGTAATGGTTTGAACTTATATCGACCTTGTATTGTGTATGTTATCTGAAAGCAACACTGAAATTATTGACTTTTTTTCTTTTGCTGATATCTTCTTTCAAAACTTGTGAAACTGTATGTGTGATATGGAGTAGGTATCTACTTTCTTCTGAACTATGCTCAGCTTGAATTTAAAATTACACTTCAGCGTACATATACCTTATTTGTCTCTAATTGCAGTTGTTTTTACCATGTATGCCCTTAATTTTTTATTCCCTTTGTTAACCTTGAATGTATTCTTACTCATTTTACAGGTGGAGGTATTCCTGTTGGAACATTAGTGCTCATTGGTGAGTATGTGGTTTCTCTGAAACATTTAAGTCTTCATATTAGTTCATTTTACACAAGGACAGGGCACACCATACCATATTTCGCCTGTTGTCCTTGTTATCTACCCTGAGGCAGCTCGAAAGTCTGTTCGAAAACAGTGAATTTAAAATATTATGTTTGGTTTAACCATGACAGAATTTACTCACAGATAGTGCAACAGTTTTGAACACAGTTTTTTTGTTTTTGTTTTAGAGGAAGACAAGTATGGAACTTATGCCAAACTTCTTGTCAGATACTTCCTAGCCGAGGGAATAGCGTGTGGTCATTCTCTCTTTGTTGCAAGTCAAGATTTAAATTGTGAAGCCCTGGTAAGGATTGCTGTTTGAGTTAATATCAGTATTTCTACACGTTTGTACATAGTGTTCAATTCTAAAGGGTTCTACTAATCATATATCGTACTTAAGATTGCTGGGTTTGTGGATTTTTTCAACGTACTTGGAACAGCTCCAACTGAACTGGTGCATCCATATGGTTTAACCTGAGAACATGAAACTTCCAGTTTCTGAAATTCTGTAGTCCATTCAGGATACAGACAATGTACAGAGTCCAGAAACTGTAATGCTGAGATCAGTATACAGATGTGAACATTTCCCATTCTTCGCACTATCATAATCGCAAATGTGCCCATTTCAGAATTGATAGATTCAGTGCTGCCAGCATTATCGCTTCTATAATTTAAGGCTCTACACTTTTGCTGTTAGATTTATTGTAATGATGGTCAAACCCTCCCACCTTTTAAGTTTCTTATTCCTTGACACCACCAGTATCGAAACAATACAGCATCGATGATAGACTGAGAACTCGAGAAAACCTGCCCTGGTGCAGAAACCCAGGCTGCCAGAGTGGGACACCAGCAACTACACACAAGAGCTGTGGCAGGGCTGGCATGGCATTGGGAAAAAATGTTTATCTGGACATTTCAGTAGAAATTACTGTTGCATTTGGTTTTGATTTGAGTCTGCATTCTACCCGAATACAGTGTTCCTTCCATACAGTTAGTTATAATGTGCCTCTGAAGCCATTCTCTTCTGTGATATTCTTACTGTATCATGAATGAAAGAGCTTGAGATTTCAGGATATTGTGGCGGTGAATATTAGTGGGGTGTGATGCTATGTTGTTGGTCTGATTGGAGAGAGCAGGTTCCTCTGGGACATTGGGACCCCTCCGTGGCATCACATTCCAGAATAAGATGAGCCCCATCCATCACTTGCTTACGCGCACTCGTTATTTTAGTTTGTGCCACATCAATTTTGCCTCATATGTGTTGTTTCAGACAGTTCGTGTGTACGTCACTTAGTCCAGCATGTAAAGGGCACCAAAGTGCCTGGATATCAAGATGGCCCAGGTCTCGGTATGCCCCTTTGAATCTGCTGTTCTGATAAATACTCATTTAGGCTGTCACAGCATTCTGTTGGCATGTTACCAGAACTTAAAGAAAATACAGCAATCACTGACTTCAGGATCTTACGTTCAGTAACAGTTGATGGGAATTTAGTTCTTGGGTTCTTGTACTGCGTGGGCCCTGTTTCCAACATTTTGGAGATACACATGGGCTCCACCTGCCGAAGTGTGCCCGGTGGTCAGTTTCTTTGTATGTACGGATCTAAGTTTAGAAAAGCCACGGAGGGCAGGAAGGAAGAGAACAGCTTGATGGTCTGTCTGGGCCAATAGGGACAGTAGACCAGGAAATTCCACAAGGAAAGAAGGAAGAAGTGGCCCTCTTAAGGGCCTTGGAGTTCATCAAAAAACCACTGGGAGCTAGTGTTCCCAAGCCTGCCTACCTTGTGCTGTGGGTCAAGTGCCACGGAGAGTGATGGGTTGGAGGTAGGATTCGTTGGGGGCAGGAAGGAAGCGAACAGCTTGATGGAGCCCCAGCACCTTGTGCATAGACAGATTGCTGCCGTCACAAGAAGTGAACTGCACTAACTATGTGGGTAGACTTTTACAGCTTCTATTTGTTCTGCTTTTCATATTACTTTTTACAGAAGAGCTATACTTGAAGACGCGCAATAACTTTTCAGAATATTGTCAGGTCAACTCCACTGGATAGAAACATGAGTGGAGTGTAATGCTCTGTTCATAGCGAAAGTTTCATATTACATGTTGCATTATGTAATATGTATTTAACCCCCGCATAATTTTACGACATGTGATAGTGTACCATGCACCACGAGCTACCCTACTTGTTTGTTCTAAGTTGTCCGTTTCCTGTATGGTGTAGTCTAGACCCCGAAATTCTGAGTGAATACAAAATAAGAGGTTCACCCTTTTGGGGAGAGACGTACTTATGGGCACTTCCTGTAGATGTTCTCCCCTCATGATTTCAAAAATCATTTTAATTGGAATCCTCATTTAGAATTCCTATGACCATCCAGTGCTCCATACGTCTGAATGGTCAAACTCTTCTTTAAGGACGACGAATCAAATGTCGATCCTGAATCTGACCACGCCCTCAATAGGCGTATCTTTGGGTGTCCAAGCACCAAGTTCGGGGTTCGAATCCCTTTAAAAACTCAGGCTTTGCCAGCCACGGCGGACACCACGCCAAACTTTTGACTTGTTCACTTCGGTCGGACTCCTCGCCAGTTTAATCACTGTCTTCACGCATTTGTGTGTTATTACTGAACTTCAGTGCGGCATCATCGAGTAGCACACTCAGCACCTCCCTGGAGACTACCTCTCACTACCTGCCGAATCCTACCGCATTGGTGCATAGTGCACTCACATCCTTTTGTTCATTTATCAAGTAACTATAATTAATATTCCTATTGTAACCTTGTTAAAGCATATGATTCAATACATCATTCTATTAACCTGAAAACCGACTTCCGAAGACTTGAATTTCAATTCTTAAGTGCTCCAACGATCCCAGTCCACAAGACTTCCGCTCGGTCTACAAGTACATCCCATCACTATCCTTCGGGATACAACAATTAGTCACAATGTTTGCCATCAACATTTAAGTGGATGACAGTGGTACTTTTCAGTTTTTGTTTTGGTGGTTCCTTACACTGTGGAGTCAGGAGATAAATTTATATTGTTTTCGTCAGGTCCGTGAACTGCCAGCACCTGTACACCATGATGATGCTGCTCCTACAAGTGAACTTGATGATAAAATGACCATTGCGTGGCGATACCAGAATATGCGAGAGATCCAGTCTTTCTCAAGCAATACTAGTTTTGGTCATCATTATGATTTAACAAAGTCTGTAGATCCTGACATTCTGAGGACGATAGACACGTGTTATTGGACTGGACCCATAGAATGCAGGCAAGCTGAAGGTAAGAGTGTGTGAGTGGCTTTGTGACATAAGCACAATTGAAACTTAAGGTGTGTATATTGTATTGTTTTCATTCAGGTAGGTTTAAAAATCCTGCCTATTATGACCTGCTGTGCACAATACAGCGTAAGATTGAAGAGGGTCAGTTTGGAGTTGAAGCAAGTCCCGAGAAGCGGAATATGCTTCGCATTGCTGTGCATTCCTTAGGCTCTCCTCTGTGGGCAGAGCAGACTCACCAGAAGTCAGACCTTCCAATATTCTTGTATTGCCTGCGCTCGCTCCTCAGGTCTGCATATGCTGCTTGTGTACTTACGTTGCCCTCACATCTGTTCCAGGTATGGCAATAACCTTCACATTTATCAGTGCCTATTAATGTTGTTCTGCTGTTGCGGATGCCAATATTTGGTCTTTATTTTGTTATGTTGACAGGAGACATGGGTCATAAAGAGATGTCAACATTTATGTGATACTGCAGTGAGACTGGAGTCATTTGCAGGTTCAGAAAAAGAGACCAACCCAGTTTATAGGGATTACCATGGTCTCTTCCACATAAATAAGCTCTCCGCCATCAATACTTTGATGCCACATGTGCCAGAGAGTTTTGATCTCGCTTTCAGGTTGAGACGAAAGAAATTCTCCATTGAGGTCAGTCATTTTCAATAATCTTATATTCTTGAATTACTTTAAACTGATACATAATATTGGGTGGTTGGTTTCTAATGCTGCACTTTGACAAGAAGGCTTCACATTCACAGTATCTCAGTTATGCTCACTTCTTGGATTAATCTTAAAAGGTAACAAAGCTCAAGTCTATTCAACGTCTAAACCTTCATTTAAACAATTACATAAGAGCATGATCTGTTGAATTATAATACTATGTACTTCAGAGACAGCCCGACATTTTTGAAGAATATATACATATTGTGTCTGCGGTAGCATAATTGGTTGAGGCACTATGCTACAAGCCGGAAGGTCGCGGGATCGAATCCTGATGAGGTCATTGGATTTTTCAATTGACCTAATCCTTCCAGCCGCACTATGGCCCTGGGGTCGACTCAGCCTCTAACAGAAATGAGTACCAGGAATGTTCTCTCCATCTTTGAGCCGATTGTCTAGAGAAAATATGGGAGCCTCGACGTCCCACAACCCAATGGGCCTCCACAGCCTGTTACAGGGATAGCTTTACCTTTATTTACTCTACTTATATATGTATATTGTATCCATCTTTGGGGCCAGAGAGTAAGCCAAGCAAGAAACCAGCAGAAGCAGGCACCAAACTTTATTAAAGGTAAAGCGATGGGAAGTGTACTGCCTGCTTTGTAGTCACACAGCAGAAGAAAGAAGGTGGACATGGTTCTTGCTGCATTGAGGGGAGATGATGTTGCTAGCACTGAGAGGGTAAGCAAGAAACCAGCAGAAGCAGGCACCAAACGTTAGTAAAGGTAAAGTGATGGGAAGTGTACTGCCTGCTTTGTAGTCACACAGCAGAAGAAAGAAGGTGGACATGGTTCTTGCTGCATTGAGGGGAGATGTTGTTGCTGGCACTGAGAAAGTAAGCAAGAAACCAGCAAAATCAGTTGGTAAGTAGCTTGTTACCCACTTCTACTTGTTTCCTGCTAGGCTTACACTTTGACCCTGAAGATGGAGGCAGTATGTTCCTCCAAAAACTTCAGGCTGTCTCTGAACTGCCCAGTGTTACAACCCAGGGGACTGTACTCTTTGTGGCCATCAGATGATAGCTTTAAGTCCAAGAAATAATTAGACACTTTGCATTCAGGATACAGGTATTCAGGATTGAAGACCAGGTCAGTAATCCAGACATTTGAAAATGTTTGAACTCCTTTCTACTATTTTCCTTATATTTCTATATTTTTTGCTTTATTTTCTGTAACCTTGAGATTATATGGTTGATTATGTAAATTGTGTTCTGATGTTGCAGTTTTTGGTTTATGTACTTGCAGAAACTACACCTGCCACCGGAACTTCAGGGGACAACACAGCGAGAACAAGATGAGTTGCCATCTGTAGCAGGTGTGAGTTGTGGAGGAGCAGGAACAAGGAACCTTCTTGACTTCTAAGTCCATGTCACTAAATAATATTGGTGAGGGCTGTATTATTGTAGCAGTTCACAAGAAGGGTGATAAAACTGACTGTACTAATTATCGTGGGATATCGATGTTATCAACTTCATACAGAATTGTATCCAGAATTCTTCTTTTAAGGTTAAGTCCATACATAGATGAAATTATTGGGTATCATTAGTGTGGGGTTCGACATAGCAGAACAACTACTGATCAGATATTTTGCATTCTTCAGGTACTGGAGAAAAATAAAAGGAGTACAACAAGAAAGTACATCAGCTATTCATAGACAACATATGATTCACTATCATGTCCATCTTCCATAGCTTAGATCGTTTACCCAAAGAATCCATCCAGGTCCGAGGTGCTTTTGACATTTCATAACAAGCTTATTTTTTATGGTGAAGAGTTGTTAGGCCCACACCCAACCCCCAAGCTCTAGGACCACCCCTCTCAGCTGTCTGCCACTGCTTATTCAATATATTCACGGCTATCCTCCATATATGAAGACTGTTTCCTCCATCTGCAACCTGAGGACATGCCATGACATGTTGTCAGGTGAACCACCTAACATGGATAAAGAAAGACACAGGAAATTTAATTGACACTGGAAAGGAGGTCAGTCTAGAAGTAAACACAGAGAAAACTAAGCATATGTTGCTATCTTGTCACCAGAATGCAGGGCAAAATCATGACATAAAGATAGTTAATACAGCCTTTGAAATGTGTTACAGCTCACATATTTTGGAATGACTGTGACAAATCAAAACCTGATTCAGGATGAAATTAAGAGGAGACTGAATTCGGAAGGGAAATGCTTTGCTACTATTCAGTCCAGAAGCTTTTGTCTTCTCATCTGCTGTCTAAAAACATAAAAATTAGAATATACAAAATTATAATTTTGCCTGTGAAACTTAGTCTCTGACCTTAAAGGAGGAACACAGACTATGAAGATGTTTGAGAACAGAGTATTGAGGAGAATATTTGGACCAAAGAGAATGAAGTGACAGAAGGTTGGAGAAACTGCATAATAACTTGTACTCTTCTCCAAGTATAATTAGAATGATCAAGTCAAGGAGGATGAAGTGGGCAGGGCATGTAGCATGAATGGGGGAGAAGAGGAATGCATATAGGATGTTAGTGGGAAAGTCAGAAGGAAAGACCAGTAGGAAGACCAAGATGTAGGTGGGTGGATAATATTAAAATGGATGATAGAGAGATAGGATGAGGTGGTATGAATTGGTTTGATCTGGCTCAGGATAAGGATCTGTGGATGGCTCTTGTGAACACGGTAATGAACCTTTGGGTTCCATAGAATGTAAAAAGTTTTGAGATGGTGTCCCATTGTAGCAGTCTGAGCGTCTGTGAACATAATGGCTATTGTGTGTTCCCTTGTTAATCTGCAGTCATCTGGGTGTGTCACAGCAGTTGTAGGGGGGCAGCCTACCTGTGCACTGATCCGTACTTCCTTCTGCTTTTGATCTAATTCCATATGAGTTTCCTTCCTGTTCATCTTCCTCCCCCCTTCTGGCTTTGCCATCACCCTGCCCTTAGCCATATTTATTTCCCTTCAGTTCACCTGTACCTATCAGTTATGAAGTTCCAGCACAGTGCTTGTGGTTCAGTCATCAGCGTGACGGGCTTAAGACAGACAATTGTGTGACGTAAACATGTTGTATACAGCACAGGTGTATCCTGAACATACAATTTAATTATGAAGTGGACAGAATTAAACATAGGAAAAGCTGTCCTTGTTTGCTGCAACCTTGTGTTTCTGGTGAGTGGTAACACTGCTGGTGATTGGTCTCATAAAACTTGTTTATTTAATTTTGTAAACTTTGGGTTTAATGCCATGTGACGTACAGCAGTAACTGTGGAAATATATGTGCTGCAACAAGTACATGCATTCCATATGCTTTCTTTACAATTTTCTGTATCTCGCTGTGCTGATATTCACTCATTGTAGGTACAGATCTGTTGTTGCAAAGCATTAGAACACTACATAGAGACAAATCAGTTTGCCTTTGTGTTTCATTAAATATTAGCTCATTCATACTTCAGTTTCTCACAGTGGCGACTCTGAAGATTACTGTGTCCTGGGTGAGACCATATAGTCTCGTAGATATTTACCAGTGTTTTTTCAAATACCCGGCGGAGGTCGTCGAATTTTTAAGGGCGGAAAAATTCAGGGAACAAGTCCTCCGGGAGGGACTATAAGCCATGGGTCCCGTGGTGTAGCTTTACGGCACATCAAAGGAGGTCACTGAGCCAAATTATGGACGTTTCCCGCCCAACAGTAGTCTATAATACCTCTGGTAGATTGAGGAAGCATTATAGATACCTCTCAGCTAGTAGAGCCGGTCTCGCTGCCTGGGCGGGACTGATGGTAAGCACCAGTACTGGTAGGATATAGAGACTGGTAGAAATCATAGAGGGAAGCACAATGGACCAAGACAGGTCTAAGTGCATGGGGAAACCCACCCTCTCCAATAACTAACTAACTACCAGTGTTATATTTTAGCGTCCTGTTGCACTGATTTAAGTCCATGATTTATTTAAACCGTCTTGCAGTGCATACACTCATCTATCTCCTTCTCTCACTCGCACTACATGTTTTGGCATAAAAATGTCATCTTCAGGTGCTTACTCAATCCACGCCAAACTAGTTCATTTATTTTAGTTTATTTAGTTATTTTAATGTGAGGACAAGGCATGCAATGAACTAGTTTGGCGTGGATTGAGTAAGCACCTGAAGATGGCATTTTTATGCCGAAACATGTAGTGCGAGTGAGAGAAGGAGATAGATGAGTGTATGCACTGCAAGACGGTTTAAATAAATCATTAACTACCAGTGTTTTGGTGGAACTTCCTACCTCCATCTTCAGGGTAGATGAGCAAGCCATGCAGGGATTGGAAGGACAAGGACTGGGACTACGTAACATTGCGCTACTGTGCACTGTTAGCATACACATGCATGTACCCAATTGTCATGCTCAGTATGCAATGTACATTAATCTGATGCAGGGCATTTCAGCTGTTACACTTTCATATTGACAATGAAGCAATAAGGGCCACCAAGTATAGCCAGCTATATGTGACGGACTTTGTTCCTTCATTATCAATACAGTCCACATCCCTCTCAGAGACTGGGCACCGTCACAGTGCATTGCACCCTGTACTAGTAGCCTCATAAGTATGGGGGAATAAAAGAAATTTCTTTGCTTGGTAGTTCGTCAACTTAAAACTGCAGTGCACCTTTTGTGCCAACCTGTACATATTATGCACATACCCCACTTTTATAGCGAGGATATTTGGCAAGTGTTCCAAGACATAGCCACTGATGTGACAGGGTTCATTGCTCCGTCATTGACATTTTAATTGATGACTGTGATTGTTTGTGTGTTGCAGCTGTCTGGTCTTGCTCTGGTGGTGGTTGGAGCAGTGCTGCTAACTGATGTCCCACGTGTCCTGCTGTCCCGTCTGCTGGGGTCTAACCACATGCCCACACACCCTCTCTTCTATTATATGGCTCTGGGACTAATGGGCACAGGCTTGTTGGTTTGTGCAACTGGTGTTCTTGGTTTCTGGGCTGCTTGCCTTCACAGCCATTGTCTTCTTGCATTGGTAGGTACTGATACACCCCAATGTGTGGGCGAGGCTGCTCCATAGCTCAAGCGGTTAGTCGCTGGCTTCCCACCGTGGCAGCCAGGGTTCGATCCCAGGTCTGGTCAAGTGGGATTTGTGATGGACAAAGTGGCGCTGGGGCAGGTTTTCTCTGAGTACTTTGGTTTCCCCTGCCAATCTTCATTCCACCAGTTGCTCCACAATCACCCTCACCTATCATCTGGGGCTGGTACAATTGGCCAGAAGTGGCCGCAGTACAAGGGACTTAATCCCACTCCACTAACAATAAAAAAAATGTGTGGGTGTTTAGAGTTAGGTGGATTACTGTAGTCTTTGAAGTTACATGTCAGCCATAACAAATTTAGTTCTACAGAGACTGTGAAAAGGGAAGACAGCACCTCCCCACCTCCCACACACAGACACACAGTGGAGGCCCACAGTAAGTTCTGTTTAGAACTTGCAGACTCTTTCTTTGTTGGATGAGGTTCTCACGTTGGTTGGTGTCTGTTAGGAGCAGAAGCAGTAAGTCACAGGTGCTGAGAACACGTTTCTTCACACTGGTTTTTTTTTGGGGGGGGGTGCATGTCTTACTCTTCAGTCTGGAGGGTGTAAGTGGCAGGTTCCTCCAGAATGTCAGTTGACTTTCGATGGACTACGCGTAGATACAGCTTTTCATAACCACTGCTTAGTTAAACTTATGGTGACTAAATGTGTATCAGGTGTGCAACACAGTCTTATGTGGGAGCCACATGTGTGGTGTGCTTCCCCCACTCTTGTGTATAGGACTCAGGCAGGCAGTACAATGTCAAAACCAGCTTTGGTTTCCATGTAGCACCACAAAGCTTTTTTGATTTATGGACCTGTTAACTCTAGGTGGTACAGATCACAGCCATGAGTGATGCATCAAGAGATCTGTAAAACAGCATGCGATTAAGAATCTGTTCATAGAAATGTAATTGCTTTGCTTTAAATGTGTTGTAGTTCCTGTTTCTCCTCGTTGTGCTTCTGCTTGGCGAGAGCTCGGTGGGTGTGCTAGCCGTTGTGTGTCCGGAGTACGTGGGTGTCACCGTGACTGTGACACGACTGGCAGAGTCACTACAGAGAGCTTATGGTGTCCCAGGGAAGGAACAGTTCACTGCTGCTGTTGATCTTGCGCAGACACTTGTAAGAACAACTTTATTCCTTCCCTCTAAAATTAATGAACTTGTTTTGTTGATTGTACTGCATAGTATGTAACAGGAGCTAGCGGCCTCCATAGTCTAGGGGAAACGTTCCCACCTCATGACTCAAGATACGCGGGTTCAATTTTTAAGGGCAGAAAAATTCAGGGAACAAGTCCTCCGGGAGAGACTTTAAGCCGTGGGTCCCGTGTCGTAGATTTACGGCACGTAAAAGATCCTCATGTCTCTAGGAGACCTCTGAGCAAAATTAGATAACAATTTCCCGCCCAAGTAGTTTCCAATTCCTCCGGTAGATGGAGAAGTTATTGGGTACCAATGCCAGTAGAGGGCCAACCTCGCTGGCAGAAAGGGGAGATAGCGGGCACCAGTATCGGTAGGGTATGGCGACAGTAGAAATTAAAGGGGAACATACAATAGACTATTAGTTGCGGTGCATGGGGAAACCCACCCCCTCTATACTGAATAACTGAACAGAGGAGCTTATGATCACACTTTGCACACTTTTGCACCAATGATAATTGCATATCATTAAGCCTGTATAAACTGTTTCTTTTGTAGACAAATTGTGCCGTGGCTTCGCTTACTTTCTCCGTGTAGTTTCAGTGCTGTGGAATGAGTGGAGCAGTGGACTATGATGTGTCCTGGTGGCGATTGAGGGAGTTGGGGCAGCCCGATTTATTTGTGCCTCGATCTTGCTGCCTGCTTAGTAACGCCCCTGGTGACTTGAAAGCTTTTTTGGATCCTCATCCTCTGAATATGTCAGCTTGTCAGTCTCTTGATCAAAGCTTGTATCAGATGGCTCGCCACACAGAGGTTAGTTCATTGTATATTTGCTGTGTGGGCTGTTGCTACAGCCTAGGAAACATATTCTGTGATTTCAGTTGATTAAATATAACATTCTGCCGGTCACGGTAGCCGAGCGGTCTAAGGCGTGTACTGTCTTCGCTTGCTTGGAAACCGGGATTGTGGGTTCCAATCCCACTCAGGGCATGGATGTTTAGTTTGTTTGTGTGCATTTTTCTGTGTTTGTGTACAGGTAGAGGCCTTGCGACGAGCTGATCACCCACCCAAGGAGTCCTACCGAACGTGTAAGATCTAGAAAAACCGAAGTGAAATTTCCAGACATTTTTCTAGCATTTCTTCTTGACAGTTGTTACAGAGATGTCTCCTGAAGAATCCCAACTGCATCTGTATCATTCTGCAGTCTGCTTGAAATTCATGACCTGTGTGCAAATGCAGTTATAATTGTTTCTGTCTGGTGATACATATATTTATGTGCCCATACATGTATTTAGACTTGTGAATAGCCTGGCCACCGACGAATTTCAATGCTTGAAACTTATATATGTGTGTAATGCAAATGCCGTATATGTATAAAGTCTGATAAGAATGTGTGGAGCAACTTGAAAGTTCATCCACGAATCTTTAGTGTTCTGTTTACGTATGAAGACTGGAAGTATAGTGTGGAACTGTATCAAGTAGTGTGAATTTCACATAGTGGGGGGTAGAGTCCAGCTGGGTCCACTCAGCACATCGGCCACTCATTGGCTTGTTGTACCTGCCCCGGGTGATTATGATGATAGAGAATTTGGTGGAATAAAGATTGGCAGGAGAAACCGAAGTACTGTACTCGGAGAAAACCTGCCCCAGCGCCACTTTGTCCACCACAAATCCCACTTGATCAGACCCGGGCCGCCGCGGTGGGAAGCCAGCGACTAACCGCTTGACATATGTTGTGGCCAAGTAGTGTGAAAGTCAGGTTTCAGGTTCTCACAGTGGAAAGTGTTGAGAGTCTTCTGGAGTTCTAAGTTCTACCCTGAAGATGGAGGTTGTAGGTCTTGTGAAACATTGGTACCTATGTCCCAAGGCACGGAGCATCACACCCCAGAAGACTGTAATATGAACTGCATGTATATGTCACACCATGTGTAACTGTTTCAGTTAAACAGAGATGTTTGGCTAAACCGTTTCTCAGTGTCACATACTTGAAGTGGAAGAAATGGGACACTTACATGGTTTTCCCACAATCTCAGATTCTCGGGGTTGATGTGCAGTCTTATCCATCCCACATTGACCATTTATGATACAGTAAAGTTGTGAGAATGTCTGAGCAAGGAACTGCTTGTGTATGCATTCTACTGTGCATTCTTATTTTGGTTCACAACAGTGAAAGTAAGCATCTGTGAAAGTTCCATGAATTAGTAGTTCAAAGTTTTCATATCTCAATATAGCTACCGACAACTGCCGCATTTGTCTCAGTGTAGTTCTGTTCTATTTAACTGCAGGGATGTTTTGCGCAGCTGGAGGGATGGTTCAGATATCACACAACGCTGTTTCTTGCCGTTGGATCTGGTCTCGTGCTGGTGGAACTCTCTGTGCTGTTGAGTGCCATCTTGGTGTGCTTGAAGCTGCCAAAATATATTTCAGAGTCACAAAGCCCTGGACTGAAGTCAACATGAAGGTGGCTTCTGCCAGTGTGTGGATCAGTGGGGCAGTTTGGGGGCCAGCAGAGAGGGCATGACAGCCTTGGGACGTACCATGAGGTAGGCAGTGTGGGAAACATCAGTCTAAGGAGCAGCGCGGGTAAAGGTCGGTTTGCGAAACATGTCCCAGTAAAGGTAGCTACATACAAGAGGGGACCAGGAGGCACAGGGACTCAGAATGTTGCAGGAACGGTGAGCAGAAGCACGTTTGGCCGGAGTGGCACGTACACACTGCAGAGTAATTTGAATCCCTTGGTTCTGGATGCCAACATGTTAAACAAACGCAAGTGTATCTATGAGAAGAATGTATCCACACATCCTGGCACAGCAAAGTCTGTGACATTGCAGCAGTGGCAGACTGCACAGACTAGACTCAACGTTGAGGAGCACTCTGATGTAGGCGAGCAGACAGACAGTATAAACAGTATGATGTGGTGAGCCTGGTGACTTGGCAATATATTATTTTGTTATTATTCACAGTGCCTGAGGTGTGACTTGCAGTTTGTGTGTGTGTGAGAGAGAGAGAATTTTTTGTACTATTGATGTGAAATGTATAAGCTGATATTTTTAGTCCAATCTTGAATTTTTAGTTACTTTAATTTTATCGGTTATTTTAATGTTTATGACTAATGGCACTATTGTAGTGCTTATTACTTTACACATTATGAAATGCTTTTCTGTGTGAAGTGACATATCTGATGATGTCATGTGGGCTGAAGAGTAAGTTATTGAGGTATGAAGTGTTACCATTGCACAGCATAATAAAGCAAACCTCAGATTATAGACACCTTTGTATGGTAGACAAGAAAATAATAGAAATTCATAACTAGAATTCAGTGTTACAGGCAATAAGAAATGCAACATACAGCTCAGGGAAGTATGCCATTTTGTATCTGGAGTTGCCACAACTGTGAACCTTGCAGTGAAATTAATTTCCAAATTATATTTTCTTGACTCTAGCTCATGCATGAAGAAAGAAATGTAATACATACGTACGTATGTGTGTGCGTGTATCACATCTGCCTCTTGGAACTTATGCAAGAACTTTAGAATCAGCAGTGAACCAATAAGATTACATACACTGTAGCTAAAGATGTATGCAACAAGTTTCAGAACATTGGTGCATTGGTGCTCAACATTGTGATGTCCTAAGGATACTTCGTATTCGTTTCATGACCAATGCACTTGTTATCACATGATATGTGGCG